CATTAGATTAGAATCTAATCCAATAATGGATTAGAACCAAGAGTCACAGCCAAAAAGCAAGGCTATAGAACCAATACTTTATCCAGACCAAACTTAAAATAGAGAAAAAGAGATCTGTGGGACAAAATGAAATATTCTAAATATGTATAATTAGAGTCCTAAAAGTAGAAGGGAGAGAGTATGATGCAGAAGAGATATTAATATATGAAGAAAGAATAGCCAAGACATTCCTCAAATTAATTAAAGATATCAATGTATAAATTCAAGAAGCTCTTCAAACTCCAAGATGTGTCACACCTAGATGTGTCATAAACTCCTAAAATTCAAAATTAAAGAGACAATATTAGAAAGCAAGAAAAGAAAAAAGCATTATATACATAAAAACAACAATAATAATTATGACTGACTTCTTATGAGAAAAACAGTGGTCAGGATACAATAAAATATCACATTTGAAAGTCAAGAAAGAAAGAAGATAAATTATCAACCTAGATTTCTATATCCAGTAAAAGTTGACCTTCAAATATGAAGCCAAACTTTCATATATTTCTGGTGAGAATGTAAAATGGTGCAGATGATTTGGAAAACCATTTGATATTATCTTAAAAAATTAACCATCATTTTAACATATGACCCAGGAATTCCACTATTAGGTATCTATCCAAGAGAAATGAAGACATATTTTGGTTGACACAAAGACTTGCTATAAATGCTCACAGCAGCATTATTATAATAGCCAAAATGTAGAAACAAGTACAAATGTCCATCAACCGGTGAATAATCAAAATGTAGTTTATTCATACAATGAGTTTATTCATACAAATGTATGAATGTTGAACTACATTCAAGATGTAGTTTATTCTTACAAATATACTTACTATATTCACCAATAAAAAGGAATAAACTACAGACATGCTATAATATGGGTGAACCTCAAGAACATTATGCTAAAAGAAGCAAAGGACCACAGATTGCATGATTCCATTTACATGACATGTTGGTGAAAGCAAAACTCCCAAACTGGGAGTAAAAAAAGATAATTGCCTGCAAAAGGGCATGAGGGACTTTTTGGAGGATGAAACTATTCTAAAATTGGATTGTGATGATGGTTGTACAATTCTTCAAACTTACTAGTAATCATTGAATTGTACACTTACAATGGATAGATGTTATGATATTTAATTTGTACCTTAATAACGTTATGAAACAATGTAAAGACAAAATAAAAAATATTCTCAACAGGAAAACACAAGCTGAGAGAAATCACCTACTGTACATCTGAGCTACTAGGAATTTTTTTTTTTAATGTATTCTTTAGACTGAAGGGAATAATACCCAATGGAAACCAAGATTGGTTGAAGAGATGATGAGTACCAGAGGGGTAATTTCATGGGTAAATAGACAGGATCTTCTTATTATATTTATTTTTAAATCCTTTAAAAGACTATCAATCATTCAAAGCAAAATAATAATAATGAATTGTGAGGCTTACAGTATGGGTACAAATAAAATACATGACACCAAGAGCACAAATGGGGACGTGGATGAAGTTATACTATGTGACGCTCTCACTTTGTGAAGTTATATATTAAAGGTAACCTATGACATGTTAAAGATGTGTATTATAGTCTCTAGTCTAGAGCAACTATTAAAAAATAACAAAGGATTAGCTAAAAAGTCAAAAGAAAAGATCAAATGGAATACGAAAAAAAATTTACCCAAAGGAAGGCAGAAAAGGAGGAACAAAGGAATACAGAACAGATGGAACAAACAGAAAACAAATACCTAATGACAGACTTAAACTCAACCATACTGATAATTACTTTAAATGCAAATAGATTGTAAACATTTAATTAAAAGGCAGAAATTATCAGACTGGATAAAAAATAAGAATTTTTCTCATTCTTTCTTTCTCTCTTTAATATTTATACTAATAGATACATAAATGATATAATATTTTACAAATATATACTATAGCTATATAAATATTAATATATAAATATATTTTTGAATCTAAAGACATGGGCTGATTGAATGTAAAAATTAGAAAAATATAAACCATGCAAATGGTAAACATAAGAAGAAACTTAGTGTGTCTATAATATCAAACAAAGTAGACTTTAAGACAAACAGAATTACCAGAGATAAAGACATAAATATTTTATAATTTTCAAATCAAGAAAATGTTAATAATCCTGCATGTGAATGGACCTAATAACAAAAATTCAAAATACATGAAGCAGAATTTGACAGAACTAAAGAGAGAAGTACAGATCTACAATCACACTTGGATATTTTAACAACTGTCTCTCAGAAATTGATAGAAAAATTAATCAGAAAGATAAAGAAGATTTGAACAACTCTACAAACCAACTTGATGTAATTGATATTTATAAAACACTGTATATAACAACTGCAGGATATACATTCTTTTCAGATGTATATAGAACATTTGCCATGATAGACTATATGTTGGACTATATAACAAGTCTTAATAGATTGAAAAAGACTGAAAAATCATGCACATCAGAATTTCCCAAAACATGATCCAGGGAACCTATGGGGGTCCCTGAAACCCCTTCAGGAGGTCCATAAGGTCAAAACTATTTTCAAAACAGTGAGACATTATTTGCCTTTTTCATGCTCATTCTTTCATAAGTGCACAGTGGAATTTTCCAGAGGCTGAGTGACATGCGATATCACAACAGATTGAATGAAGAAGCAAATGTGAAAATCTAGTTGTTTTTTAATCAAGTCAGACACTAAAGCAGTTTGTCATTCTTCTTACTATTTTTTGTTTGTTTTGGAAAATATAGCTGTTTCCAGAATAATGTTATTTGTATTAACATGCTATTTTAAAATAAATTGATTTTTTTAAACCTCTCAGCTTTAATTTCTAATATGGTAAATATAAATGATATAATCCACATAAACAAGGGCTCTTGAGATCTTCATAATTTTAATGGTGCAAAGGTGGTATGACCAAAAATGTTGATAATTGCTGACAAAGAATATGTTCTCCAGCCACAAGGAAATTAAGTTAGAAATCAATAAAAATAAGAAATCTAGAAACCACAGGTATTTAGAAATAAAACTTTACTCTTCAAATAAGAAATCTAAAGGGAAATTTAAAAAAATATTTTAAATCATATGATAATGAAACAATATATCAAACTCTGTGGGATCCAGCTAACCCAGTGCTCAGAGGGAAACTTATAGTTTTAAATGTCTATATTCAAAGTAGGAAAATGTAATATCAATGAATTATGCACAAATTTTACAAACTTTTTCAGGAAACAAAGAAAGAAGAAACACTTCCCAACTCATTTTATGAAGGTAGCCTAATCCTGTTGTCAAAATTTGATAGACATTAAAATAAATGCATGATCTTTCACTGGTAATAGATGTAGAAATATCTTCAAACAAATCAATAGCAATGTAGATAAATATTCATGTGCAAGAATTATAATAGTAAAAAAATGCTAATAAAAATGATATTTGTCCAGCCATTAGGGACTAATTAATTATGATAAATCTATGGGGTGCGATATTATGCATCAATTAAAAGTATATTCTCAAAGGAATTAATGTCATGGGAAAAGATATAAGTTTAGTAAATTATGTATATAGTCATATCCCATTATTGTATGTAACATACATACATATAAGAGGCCTGAAAAGAAATTCACCAAAGTATTAGTAGTTCTTCTGCATCGGAGTGATGGTAGTAATATTGGTTTACTCTTTTTCTTTTGTATTTTCCAAATCATTTGTAATGTAATTGGGTCACTTTAATAATGGGGGGAAAATCCCAATCAGTCGTTTAAGGAAAAATTCAGATAATATCATAGTTCATACAATGATGTTTCTCTGGAGAAGATTTGAAATTAATTGATCCTATACCTGCATTTTCTAGATGGGAAAATTGAGTTCTTCCTCCTCCTGGGTGGATGTGCATCAAGGTAGTGATAGAATCACACCCAGAATCTGGATCACCCTCCTCCCAATAGCATGCCCTTCACATTAGGTCACAACATGAAGAAAATGGCATTGGTGTTAGGTATATGGTAATTCTTCAGACTGAGTCACTGCTTTTAGGCCCAAGAGCCCAGATTTACTCTGGGTTAAGTAAATTCAGATGTAAAGTATTTAATGTTGGCATGGATGTGGAGAGATAGGAACACTCCTACACTGCTGGTGGGACTGCAAACTAGTTCAACCTCTGTGGAAAGCAATACGGAGATACCTTAAAGCGATACAAGTGGATCTAGCATTTATTTGATTCAGTAATCCCATTACTGGGTACCTACTGAAAGGAAAAAAAGGACATTCTGTGGAAAAGACACCTGCACTCGAATGTTTATAGCAGCACAATTCACAATTGCAAAGATGTGGAAACAACCCAAGTGCCCATCAATACATGAGTGGATTAATAAAATATGGTATATGTATACCATGGAGTACTATTCAGCTATAAGAAACAATGGTGATATAGCACCTCTTGTATTTTCCTGGATAGAGCTGAAGCCCATTCTACTAAGTATCCCAAGAACGGAAAAACAAGCACCACATGTACTCACCAGCAAATTGGTGTTAACGGATCAACACCTAAGTGGACATATAGGAATAACATTTATCGGGTGTCTGGCAGATGGGAGGGGGGAGGAGGGGATGGGTTACATACATACATAATGAGTACGATGTGCACCGTCTGGGGGATGGTCACGCTTGAAGCTCTAACTCAAGGTGGAGGGAAGGGCAATATACATAACCTTAACATTTGTACCCCTATAATATGCTGAAATAACAAAAATAAAAAGAAAACCAGTCATTGTTCAAAGTGTCCAGGTTTCAACCAGGGGAAAATTCAGCTTATATATCATTCTCACATACAACATTTGGGTTGACTCACAAAGAGATTATCTGTGTAAGAGAAACTTGTTCAGAGAACAATAGCCATATTTCTTTCTTGGCATATTAATGAGTAAATCAAGTCTGTGTGAGAATAAATAAGCGAGACCTTTTATTGTTCAAACTCTGGAGAGGGTAGCTTGGCTTTTTGTAGGATCTGAGTAGAACACTGTATTGTGATTTAAATGGAAGCAGCCATCGTTTTTAACCATAAAGACCAGATTTCCAGCGATGGTGCACCTAGTAAAACAATCGAAATAACATTAGTGTCACTTTCTGTGTTGAGGAAGTTAAACAGCCATTCTGTGGCTTATCTAGGTGACAGAACCCAGTCTCAGCAGGCAATGAGAGCGTGCTTTTTAATTCTTCGAGTATTTAATAAAGAGGGAAAAATCCACAATCAAGTGCAGGATTAGTATGCCAGATCACAACTTCCATGATTTAATTGCATACGACCTTTATCCTTAAATAGTCATAAGAAACAAGAATCCTAGACCATAGCCTGCCTTTCCTCTGTGGTATGGAAATATCTACTGAGCTGAAGGGCTCCGGGCCCCCTCTCTCTTCCAAGACCATTCTCAGGAGCTTTTCTGCCTCCCTGCTGATCTGTAGCTCCACGTCCCCCTGTCCCCCTTCTCCTGTCCCTTCAGCCTCTTCCTGTCACTTGCTCCTGGAGCCCTGACCATTCTGTCACTGGGAATCAGGGTTCAGATTCAGGCTCTGGTTTTGTCCCCACTGCTCACTTAACTTGGTGAGTTACTGACAGTCATTTATTATCTCTGGGCCCTAATTTCCTCCACTATCAGAGGAGGGGAAGGGCCCGGTAGGAATGACACCTTGGCATGCTATGTTGAGAAAGGCTTTGAGGCCATTTCCAGACCTCCTAGGGAAGAGCAGTCTGTAGTGTCTGCCAGTGGCATGAGCAGGTGGGAACAACATGCCTTCCAAGTCTGAAGTGCATGATATTAAATGACACCCCGGGAAGACATTTTCCCCAGAGTATTCCCATTATGCTTTCTCCATTACTGCATATAACTGAGGACTCTCCATACCATATCCCTAAGTCATTTGCCACCTGCCATTAAGTACATAGATACTGCATTTCCATTCCAAAGGCATGAGTAGTCCCATTTCACAACAGGATAACTGAGTCAGAAAGTGAGCCATTTTCCCTAAGCCATACAGCAAATCCAGAACAAATATTAAAATTTAGGGACATTTATTTACTAATAAATATCTTACGCATTATACTTACTGTGTTTCCCCGAAAATAAGACAGGGTATTATATTTATTTTTCCTCAAGAAGTCATCCTAGGGCTTATTTTCAGGGGATGTGTTATTTCTTTTAAGTACGATACGACAATCTACATTTATTCAAATATAGTTAAGTTGTCTTCTTCTGGAACATCATCATAACTCTCCAAACCCAGAATTCCATCCTGAATTTCTTGTGACTCTGTTTCCTTTAGAACCATTGGCCCCAATCTCTCATGTCGAGCAATAGAGCTCTCATGGGGCAGATGTGAAGGGCTGCTCGTCTTCTTTACCATTCCAGGACGAAATGCATGGGTCGTGCAGATGCGCTGCTTAGCCACGCCCATCACTAGGTCTTATTTTCGGGGTAGGGCTTCTATTGTGCAAATGCTTAGAAATCCTGCCAGGGCTTATTTTATGGGTAGGTCTTATTTTTGGAGAAACACGGTACTTGTTTCACAGCCTTTACTACATGTAAAGTAGCATGAGAGTCACTAGTAAGAGAAGAAAAAGAGGTGGGGACAACAGAATAGCTAAGAATTCCTGATCTCAAAGGAACTTTAAATCCAGTAGGAAAGCAAGATATCCACAGATAGCAGCACAGGTGAACAGATGCCCTCTCAGGGAGGGGCAGCACTGTCCACCCTGGAGTCCTCCTTGGTTCTTCTCTTATCTCCTACTCACGTCCAACCCATCTGCAAGTCATGGTCACTGAACTGTCTCAGATCTGACCATTCTTGCCTCTTCCCCTATATCACCCTGGTTCAGATTGTCATCTTGTCTCACCTGGACTGATGCCAGAGCCTCCTGAGTAGTTTCCCAGCTTCCCCTCTGGTTCCCATACAGTCTATTCCCACATAGAAGCCAGGATAATGTTCCTTTTAAACAGCCGATCGGTTCACATCATTCCCTGCCCTCAGTCTCTCAGGGGCTTCCTATTACACTGAGAACAAGATCCAAAATTTTCATCGTGGTCTATAACAACCTGCTTCACCTGGCCCTGGCCCCTGCACTTGACACCATTGGCCCCACCCTCTAACACCTCACCCTGCCTTGGTTCTCCCAATGGCACTTAGAACCACCTATCACATCATGTATGTGCTTACTGTTTCATTGGTTTTCTCTATTAGAATATAAGATCCACGAGGGCAGGCGCATCAGTGGTTGCTTCCAGACTGCAGCTATAGCATCTATTAAAGAGTATGGCACACAGTAGCCCCTCAATAAATACCTGATGACTAATGAGGTCGAGGAGAGCTAGAAATGGGAGCAAAAACCTGATATTGAACAAGACCAAGGGATAGTGTACTGCAGTGTACATCTCATTTCTAGATTCTCTTCCAGGGCAATGGTCGGTGTTAAGAGATTTCACTTGGTTTGTGAGCAGGCTGGACAGGCGTGTCTAGAGAGCAGATGGCGGAGGGGCCGTGTCATGATGAAGACAGGTCCTTCCGGGTCTGGGGCAGGCAGATCCACGAGCTGCACAGTAGGGGAGAGGAGAGAGTGATCCTGGAGACACAGCAATTGAGGAGAACCATTTGATATAAATCACATTATTTCTGGGCATTCGACTCTCTATTCCAAGAATAGAAATGGCAAAACCGATCTAATTCTTTACATGCTGAGGCAAGCTAGGGGCTGAATAAAGCCACTGAAAAGGATATATAGGAGTCACTGCTGCTTAAGGAATTGAGCAGCTCTTGTTTCTGCAGAAAGCAGAAACAGCTCTTGTTTCTGCAATTAGAAATTACTTTGAAAACAGCAGACGCTGCTTGCATCAATAACATCAGGAAAGACACTATTTCCCTTGGAGTAAAATATAACCTAGGAGTTTTTAGGTGTCACGCACCATCCTAAACCCTTTACACAGCTAGTTAACAGTAGAGCTAGGAATTAAACTCAAAAATTGTGACTAGAGTCCATCCACTTAACCGTGTGTGTGGTACACTGCCTCTTACGAGAATACTTGACTTGACCTTGGGCAAGTCATCCTCTGTGTGCCTCAGTTTCCAGTGAGTGATAACAGTACTGCCTTCTAGGATTCTTGGGAGGCTTAAATGAGTTAACACATGTAAAGTGACCCAAAAAGGGCCTGGCGTACATCCTAGTTATTATCATTATACCTGTAGGATCAATACTCAGCACAGTGGAATTATGAAATACTAAATACAATGCAGAGGTTAAATCACTCTCCAAGAGTCACCTAAATGAGGTCAATGAGGCCAGGATATTAACCCAGGTAGGTCTGGCCCCAAAGCTCATTTCTTTACACCTTGGCTAGCTCCTGTCAGCTGTTTCCAAGGTACAGAATCCTTCCAGCACTTGACAATTCACAGCCAAAGCTTTCTGTTCCCTTTCAGGCATTTCTCTGTGATATGTGAGTTTTAACTCAGCACATAAAACCTGGTAATGATGTAGCATCCGAGTCTAAATGTTTCAGGCCTGGAATGTGTCTTGTTTTGGTGGACCGCTGAAACCTACAAGGACAGCTAGCGTGGAGGTTTCATTCTGATTCTAATCTAGACTCTGTAGCAGGGGTTTGCAGGAAGCCACGTCGTCCTTGAAATTCTAGCGCGTACCCACGCTCCACACCCCAAGGAGCTTTATCTTCTAGCTGCAGCTCTCACAAGATGCACAGGTGAGAAACTTAATAGCTCCTCTAGTGAGCAGCACACACCGCCGCAAAATAGCTGGCAAAATAGGCCAGCTCTAGGACAGGAAAGTAAGTGATTCAGTGGAACCCAGGCAATAAATAGCACTGGCAGTGATGGATGAACAAAAAACAAAGCACACCTGCATGCAATCCTACATGGTCCGGGGAGCTGTTAGATCAGCAGTCCCCAACCTTTTCAGCACCAGGGATGGATTTCATGGCAGGCAATTTTTCCACGGATGTGGCAGTGGGGTGAGGGTCTGGGCAAGCATAGAACTCAGGCAGTGATGAGTGGCCCAGTTCCTAACAGGCCATGGACCCAACCGGATCTCGGCCTGGGAGTTGGGAACCACAGGGTTAGGTTGCTTTTATTTATTTTGATAAATAGGGTGGGGTGGTTGGAAAGCCAGCACACTGAGAGGAGGGTGACATTTTTCCGTGGCTCCAGCCTCCAGAGTTCCCTATGTCCACAGGAACTCAGCGTGCGTAGAGTGTTCTTTGCGCTTTAGCCCTGCCCCTGTTCACTGCTTGCTTCTAGAATGGTCAGATACCTCCCGTTAAGCTGTACATGTAGGAATCTTGCCTTTAAAATAATCTTACGTATCTCAGAATTTAACTGGATTCCAAAAGCTCCCTCCCACCCCCAGCATAAGCCATGAGCACAAAAGTGTACGTTAAGGTGTTCCATTAAGCCACTCCTCACTGGGCTAAGGAAATTCTCAGGGAGGCCTCTCCTGGGATCTCTGAAATCATGCTAACTAGTTGATTATCTTCTCTATATACAGGAAATGCTTGATGTGGTGAACACCCAAAATATTGTTGTCTTAACCCAGTTGATTTATGGTAATCAACATGTCCAAATGACTTTACTCAGGGTTCTACGAGCTCACAGCTAATTACGTTTTTTTTTTTTTTTAAAAAAAGGATCAATAGATGGAATAAAGAGAAGAGAATGATTATTTGTACCAAAATCTCCGAGAATGGCCTCTTTCCCTCCACCCCATCCTATCCTCCTTCCCTTCCCAGGGCTGACTGTAGGAATCCACGACCAGAGCGGGACAGTTACCTAACCAGGAGCAGGGGGCCGCAGTAGCCCCCTCCCAAGGGACATCAGCAGCGTTGCTGGGCTCCTGTAAAGGCCATCCCAGACCCGAACCTCTGCCCAGAATGTTAAGTGGAAAGAATATTCTCAAAACTCTGACTCAAACACTCGCTGTGCTCTATGACTTCATGGAACGCATCCAAGTAAAATTCCCCAGGGAGATCCAGGCTCCCGGCCAGGAACAGGAAGTTGTCAGGGTAACATGGGGACACTGAGCACCTGGGCGGGATCAGGGAGCGAGAGGCTCTGTCACTGAAAAGGAAGAAGACATGGAGAAAGGGAGGCCGGGGAGGCCTCTGAAGACGAGAGTCGCCCATTCGACACCCGAAACCTGCAGGCACTGTTCTGCTTTCTGAATATCTCAAAGATCTTACCACATTGGTGCATAGATAACAGGGCAGGTGCAGGTGGGAGCAGGTGGAATCTGACGGATCATGAACAGACAACCCTTAGTAAATAAATCCCAGAAGACACCATGACAAGTTTTCTCCATTATCGTGATGAAAGTTTCATCCCAAATATGGAGAAATGTCCTTTTTGTATAAGGTGAGGGCAAGTTTCTGTATCCTGACTCAAGTTTGGCTTGGAGAGTGTTACGGTTACAAATGTCCCTATTTAACCTCACCATTGATATCGGAGAGGAGATGCTAGGATGAGATGTATGGGTTATTCATTACTCCCACTGCTTCCCTGATTAATACCTATTTCAACTCTTTTTAAAGAGAAAAAGTATGGAAATTTGCCCAGGACGGTGTTTAATTTCCCAGGCGGCAGAGAAGGAAACACTGATTTATTTACAGCGAACAGCAGCTGTTTACATGCATTTGGAGCATGATAAATGGGAATTTTATATATATAATTATTCATGCAAGAAGTATCTTACCATGTTATCAGACTTTAAAGCCCAAGTTGTGTCTATAAATGACATTTTCAAAACCCACGGAATTTTCTTCTCACTAATGATATGGACTTTAAGTCTGGGAGTCATAAACCCTAGTTTACCTTCTCAGGTATGGCAGACATCTTTTGTTTGACATAGGATCTAAATCAGGATATATTTTGTATAATCGTCAAATGCAGTTTTCCGCCAGGTAAGTTTGCTTTTAAATGTCAGTCACTTTAATCCTGTAATCTGTTATTGAAAGACTCAAGTTTTTAGAATGTGTATGGATGGTGTACACTTGCACACATGCGTGTATGTGTGCTATGTGTTGCTGTTTTACTATATGTGCATATGTGTGTACAGAATCCTTGAGTCATGGATAGAAGGAACCTTAAACAGCACTTTGGGCAGAGGTTTTCAACACTGATTATTTAGTGCAATCACCTGGGGAGCTTTAAAAAGTCCTGAAGCTCAAACTGGTGAAATCTAAATAAGTTCTGTGGTCTTCTAGTTAACGTTATTATTCCCATATCAATTTCTTGGCTGTGATGTTGGGCTATAGTTACGTGAGATGTTACCACTGGGGAAAATTGAGGAGAGGGTACAAGGGACCTCTTTGCATTATCTCTGCAACTGCCTGTGAAGTCTGTAATTTTTTCAAAATAAAAAGTCCTAAAAAAATGCTAGTGTAGAGACCATACTCTGGACCAATTAAATCAGATCTCCAAGGATTGGACTCTAGAAATCAGTCTTTTTTAAAGCTTCCAGGTGATAGCAGAGTGAGGCCAAGGTAGATAGTCCCTGATTTTGTCTAATTAGCCACCCACTGTTTAAATGTGTCACCATCTCCCCATGTATAGCTTACTATATTAATACTAATATAGCACATTTGACTCGCTGACCAAAATATTTATTATGAGTTTTCTAATATTCTAGGAAACCTGCAGAGACTTCTCAGGGGAAAGATTATGTATGTGTCAGGTGGAAAGTTATGTTAACTTTGTAAATAACTCCTAGATTATACTGGAATGGACATTAGCTAGCCCTGAGAATTTCCCAGTAATTGCTCATAGTGGTAGAAATACAACACATTATGGCATAAAGCCTTTAATCATTACTCAACATGTCATACTTTTGACTTATAGAATGGGCATAGTAATGTAACAATTATTTCTTTAATGCCCCACAAACATGTCTACTAATTATTATGAATGGAATTTTAAAGTAAACCTCTTATATCACAAAGGGCTTGAAAACTGCTTATTTATCTATTTTGGATCAAAGACCACTTTGAGAATATGATGAAGCTATTCTTCTCCCAAGGAAGATGCAGAAACAAGTGGCTCATGGATCCCTATTAAATTCTAGAAGCCCTTTAATAGAGGCTGCTGCAGTGTTTAGCAGAAGCCACTCTGGACCCTGAACAGGAGGCCAGGAATGAGGCTCTGGCTCTTCTTGTCAATCAAGCCTACCACCCAGGCCGGTGGCTCCCCCATGCCAGCCCTTGACATCCTCTTTTATAAGTTGTTTGTAATGCTGTCTGTGGCCCTCTCCCCTCTAAGACAGGGGTCCCCAACGTATGGTGAGTTATATAATTATTTCATTATATATTACAATGTAACAATAATATACACAAAGTACACAATAAATGTAATGCACTTGAATCACCCCTGACCCATCTTCATCCAACCCCTGGTCAGAGGAAAAATTGTCTTCCATGAAAATGGCTACTACTGGTCAGTTGTTTTCCTTATGTTTGGAGAAGATGGCAATAGGAAATGTGTTTGATGGTAATAAAACATCAAGCATTTATATATTGTTCACTGCAGGCCAGGCCTTGAGTGCTTTAAAACCCATGACCACTCGTGCATTCCACTCAAGAACTCTGTAATGTTGATACTAGTGTTCTCTGTGTTTTAGAGATTTGGAAGCAGAAGCCCAGAGAGGTTGATATGTCCAAGGTCACAAAGCTAGTTAAGTGTTGAAGTGGGGATGGTTTTAAATGTTCATAAGAACTTTTTAACTCAGGTACCAAAACCCTGGCAGGAGTTAGCAATGGGAATTGCAAATTGCTTGGGACATGAAGACAACATACAGAGGCAGCTGGGACAAGTAAACTGCATTTACTCAATGCAGTTCTGCTTTCACCTTGTCCTGGGCAGGGAGAGATTCAGGTGATGTCTCTTCCAGCTTCCAGGCAAGATATTATCTTTCCTTTCCCTCACCGGAGGACACGCTGGCTTCATGTGAACTGGAAAAATCTATCCGGTCACCTCAGAACTAATTTTTGTATAAAATCTTTAGTTTATTTTTACAACATGCAAATTAGAGGTGCAGATGGAAAATTCAATAACGCTATAATCCCGGTGATGCCCTAGGTCTAGGATGACATTTATCTAGGCAAAAGCACTTTTGTGGTCCTAGGAATGATGGTTGTGGCATTTTAAAACCACATTAGACCCTGCTGCAGAAATCCTTTCTCCTACTTGTGTAAACCCTATGGGGTAAAACAAAATTTATCAAATCAATGGAAAATATACTCCAATAATGATTACATTGTGTATTTGGGGCCTCCTTCCCACTAACTATCATGAGCACAATTTATTTACAAGGGCTTCCCTGCGGCAGCTTGCTCAGGTAGGAGGGAGAGAGGAAGGGAAGACACTTTGCTTAGTGGGGGAAGGCACCAGGCCCCTCCATATCTCCAAAGATTATGGAAGGGCCTGGGATTCTCCACCTCCCCCCAGCATCTCTAGCCTTGTTTGACATGTCCCCAGTTAAAATGTGAATGCCCAGGAGGAGTAGGAATGTCAGCATGTTCTGATCCCTGAGCATGGACTTCTGCAGAGAAGTTTTTGACGTTACCTCATCTACAAAGCCAGGGCATTAAACTTGACAAATGATTCTCTACCTCCTCGTATATCGGGGAAGACGACTTTTTACAACCTACAGAAGATGTCCAGGCCCTATGAAATTTAGTTTCAATTGGTCTGGGATAGGGTCCAGGGATAGGTACTGCAGTAGTATCATTAGAGCTCCCAGGGATGTGAATACGCTGCCAGTGACTTGATCAGTGGTTCTCAGCTCTGGCTGTGCTTTAGAATCACCTGGGGGATAAGAGAAAGCCTAATGCCCAGGCCACACGAAATCCTAATGTCCAGGGGTGAGACCTAAACATCAGTAGATTTTACAACTGTCAGGTGATTCCAATACCCAGCCAGGGTGGAGAACCACTAAACCAGGTGATGTCTAGGGGACTATTACAGCTAAGGGACTCTTCCTGCTGTGTTTACAGTCCCACAGTCTCTTCTAGTTGGTTCCAATGCAGTGGGTTCCCACATTTGAGGACATCAGGATCACCTGGAAGGCTTATTAAAACACAAACTTCTGGGCTCTCTCCCTGGAGGTTCCGATTTTTCAGGTCTAGCACAGGGAATGGGAATTTGCACCTCTAACAAGTTCCAGCTCATGCTGCCGGTGATCCGGAAATCACCTTTTGGAAATCACCGCCCTAAAGCATAATGGGCACCTGACTTTGACATAGGCCAGTACAGAATTCAGAACAAGTAATTTTTGTTGGCGAGGAATAATCAGATGGGGGAAAAGACTAGCCCAGGGCTGCCAGAATCAGCCCTGCAGGCAGCTTCTGGGCAGCTGGAGTGTGATATAGAGCTAGTGACTGGGCTCTGAAATGCAAAGATGATGATGGCCTGAGAAGAGAGAAGACAGCAAAGATATACTTCATCGCTGTCAACATTTGGCCTAGAGCCTAGAGCTATTTGTCAGTTAAATCACAAGGCGGCAGAAATATTGGAGCATGTGCTGATTTCATCAATAAATTCTTTCCAAATTCTATCAGAACTCTCCACTACATTTCATCAGCATCTTTAAACTATTTATATTTTTACGACCTGGGTTATTTATATTATTTTTTCTGGACATATATATTTAGAAACATTGAAACTATGCCTAAATATGTAAAAAGTACATAATCACGCTCTGGGGTGGAAGACTTGGGATGGTCAAAAGACAAAACTTCATCAAGAATGAGGAAGAGGCACATGGTGTGTGATGGATGAGGAGATTAACATGTATTAAGCATCACCTCCGGGTGAGTATCTCCTATTTATTAGTGATTCTTGCTAAAAAAAAAAAAGAGTTTGATAACAGAAGTTACAATATACAGA